CACACACACACACACACACACACACACACACACACACACACACACACACACACACACACACACAAACAAAAAAAAAAAAAAAAACAAACACAAACACACTTACACAAGTGGGTACTCTTCCAATCCAAAGACGCGTGATGGCGGGAGATAGACCATGTACAGTCCAAGGTCATCCACCTTGCACTCCGCTGAAGAGAAAAGGGTGTATGGTGAAGGGCAGGGAAGGGGTGACACGACGATGTAAGCAACACCCCCAACAATCCCCGAGTTCAGAAACGAAACGAAACGAAACAAAACAAAGCAAGATGACGTGAACAAGACAAAACCAAGCAAACCACAGCAAAGCAATGAACAACTCACTTTCGCCAAAAACAACGGTGAGCTTCTCGTACGCGCGCTCCCGGTCCTCCTGCACGTCAAACTCCGCATCAATGGCGCGCTTGCGTGCGGCCACCTCATGCAGCGCCTTGATGGTGGAAAAGAGGTCCGGTGCAACCACAGCCAGGTCCTGCATGTCCAGCTCCTGTCCCCGCATGATCTTCAGCATGGCCGTCGACAGCGGCATGTCAACGAGGCGGTGGTCCTGCAACCACACAAGTAGCGAGCAAGCAAGCAAGCACACGCACAGCACGGTCGTGTAAACAGACTGCAGACAAAACGGGCAGGGACCAAGACCAACCTGCAAATAACTTCATCGGCACGCCATACCCAAGTACCAACGGGCCATTGGCCTTCCCCCTGCCCCAAACCAACATCAAATCAAACATCACGTCGCCACCACCACCACCACCACCACCACCACCACCACCACCACCACCACCACCACCACCACCACCACCACCACCACCACCACCACCACCACCACCACCACCATTGTATTGCCCACGTGCCTGCATGGCCTTTGCGAGGAAGACGCCGAGGAGCTCAAACTTGCTCTCGACCTCTGCCGGCAGCTTCTCCTCTGGATACGGCGCTGGGAACAGACCCGCGGGCCGCCGCACGTAGAACCCGGGCGGCTTGGCTGCACACACGCGCGCGCGCGCGTGGTGATGATGATGATGGTGGTGGTGAAAGGAAGAGAATGCAGTATGTGAGTTGCATAGCACAACAAGCAGACAGCCCGAAGAACGCGTGATGTGTGTGTGTGTGTGTGTGTGTGTGTGTGCGGATGCGTATGCGCATGAACGGCAACTCAACAAGCACACGTGCATGAAATGATCACAACACGCAACGCACCTCCGTGGCCGAGGTCGCGTGTCGTGGTGGCGGTGCCCAAGTGGTCGTCGCACAGCCACATGGCATAGTCCTTGCGCTGAAACTCCGCACACACAAGACTGTAGAACTCGAGCGAGGGCCCCAGACCCGTGGCGGGCTCATCCTTGAACTCAATCTCAAGCACGCTCTTGTGCGACGCCTGCGTCAGCAGCACGTTGCGCGCCCACGAAAACAGCTGCAGGATATGGGTGGAGGGAGGGGAGGGTGGATGTGCAGCAAGGAACCAACACCAGGATGCACGTGGTGAGCAGCTGGGTAACAGTCAAAGCCCTACAGCAATTGCAAATACAAACGCACAGCAAACACACAAACTCACACACGCACACGCACAACAAACATACGACAAACATACACACGCACACACACACACGTACACGCGTACGGACCTTGTCTTCGCTGCGCGGAACGGTGACACGCTCGTGCTTCTGGCGGCCGACCTGATACTCCTGTGGTGGGGGCTCGTTCCCGCTCACATTCTGCCCGCGGCGCGTTGCTGCCTCGCGCTATTGATGGTGGTGATGGGTGGTCATGGTTGGTGGTGATGACGGGTGGCGTAGGAAGATGTGCAGTGAGTCAGTGATTGTCGAGTCGCGTCGCACATGGGCACTACAACAATGGCAACGTGACAACCGCACACACTCTGGCAAATGACTTCAACCACGACGCAGGCACAAACAGACAACGTGTCAACCACACAGAACAAGAGCTAACAATCAACTAGCACAGGGTCACCGAGCATCAGACAACGGCCACCAACCTTCTCCTGCACCCAGACGATGGACCGGGAAATGCCAAACGCGCGGGCGGAGAAGAACTGCTTCCGCGCCTCAAAGGGGAACAGCACGGGGCACGAACGAGCCAGCGTCTCGCACCACGACGGCAACGCCCCGCTCACAAGCGCAAGCGGATCCGCCATTTGCCGCTGCAGTTTGCTCGTGAGCTTCCTGCTCACAAACTCGGCCTTCTCGATGGCGAACACAATCTCCTCCGTGGCGCGCAGCATCGTGCGGCAGGTGGCGTCGAGGTATGCGGCTGCATCCTCGCTCTCGTCACCGCCAACAGCTTGCGTCATGTCAAACAGCACCTCGAGCAGCGACAGCGAGCTGTCCGTGTGCCGCTTGCTCACCTCCTGCATGTGTGTGTGTGTGTGTGTGTGTGTGTGTGTGTGTGTGTGTGTGTGTGTGTGTGTGTGTGTGGTGGTGGTGGTGGTGGTGGTGGTGGTGGTGTGTGTGTGTGTGTGTGTAGGTA